AACATTTTCAATGGTTGACGTACATATTCAGCTAATGTCTAGGAGGTGATATTGGACTTGCATCACTGCCTCTCCAATGGGTAATCTTTGGCATCATGGTAGTGCAGATGTACGTTAAATAGCCGGAAACTGATCTGTGATACAAAACTCTAACATGATGTCGTAAAACATATATACCAACGTACTCAGGTCCAGGTGCTAATGTTTCAAAATGTTGTAAATAAATGTACATCTTGAAATAGTAAATACATTTCATGGATCTTTTCAATCTTAAGCCATTCATCTTGTCTAATAACATGGAATAGATATGTTAACATAACACAGTAGGACAAAGTTACAACCATATCAACCACACAAGATGGACATAGTTTCAACCATATCATCCCCTCAGTTGGACAAAGTTACAACCATATCATCCCCTCAGTTGGACAACGTTACAACCATATCAACCCCTCAGTTGGACAAAGTTAAAACCATATCAACCTCATAAGCTTGACAAAGTTACAACCATATCAACCAGACAAGATGGACATAGTTTCAACCATATCATCCCCTCAGTTGGACAAAGTTACAACCATATCATCCCCTCAGTTGGACAAAGTTACAACCATATCAACCCCTCAGTTGGACAAAGTTACAACCATATCAACCTCATAAGCTTGACAAAGTTACAACCATATCAACCCAAAATGTATAAGTTGCACATATGCATTGTTACAACCATGAAATGCCTTCCTAAAGCAGGATATTAGTATATGACTTATAACTTGACAAGGTGAGACTCCCAACCACAAAAACCCAACTGGGCGGAACTTCATTATTATAGTAACAGGGTTGAGTTAAGAAAATTTTGCAGATGTACTCAAATGCTATTATGAGCACATAATGACTAAACCTCATTATCTCAGTGGTAAGAGCAGGATAATTTGGAGATAATTCCTTTTGGTATAACAGGCAGATTCTTTTAAATGGCTGTCATGTTTAGTGGGTCTGGGGCTCATGCTCTGTACTGACACCTAACTCAAGGATGGATGTGTAGGGATACAGCAAATATACAGGGGGTGAATTTGTGGGGAATAGTTACGTAAATGATTTAAGATTTACAAGGACACATTCAAGATACCCAGTGGGGGATAAATGAGGAATCATCGTGAATAATACAAGTTCAGATTTATAGAGATGGGGTAAAGTAATTGTGTGCAATCATGGTTTCCCTGAACAACACCTATTTTAAACTTCTTCTCAAGTACCATCAATGAAATTGAGCTGAAACTTTATTTAAAAGATCCTTGCTTGGATTTGTCTTACTATGTGTTGTTATTTTTGGGTGTGGTTCAAAATCTAATATAGCAACCATTGCTGCCATCTTGAAAAACACATTTTTAACGTCTTTGTCAAAAGTTCAATATGGCAGCCATGGTGATAATTTTGTAACAAGATTGCTCAATCATGGTTTTATAGAGCAACAAACAATTATTAATTATTAACTGTTTGTAGGTTAATGATAAGAGTTAATAATGTTTTGTCACACAACACTGCATTTAAGATGGGAATTAAAAGTAAAAAAAAAGGAAAAAAGGTAAAATAGTCCTTTTTCAGTCCAGTACTCCTGAAAATGTCTACAGCAGATTAGTTTAGTGTTTTTGGAATCTTATGATTAGTTGAGTATAATTTTCTGCAAATCCCGTTTGAAACTAAGGCTAACCAATAATCTTTACGATTTGTGTGAATAAAGCTCTTGACATCTGACATGTTTGTAAATAGATAATACTGCTTTTTTATTGGTCAGAAGCACATCTCATCATGGAAATTCCCTGTTATTATCTACTATTTTTAGATTAGGTTATCAATTTCGATGTTAACCTCTCATGCAGGAATTTACAGGTCTGAAGTAAACATTGCAGTTTTTGTCAAAATCTGCAGGAAACCTCAGAGCCAATCACAGGAGAGAGATTTTCTCAGTCATATAACAACATCTATTTTAATCTTCTTGAAGTTCCATCAATTGGATTTAGTAGAAACTTGCCTGAAGTGATCCTGAGATGGATCTGACAAAATAGTGTTTTTCTTTTTGGGTCAGTCGGTAATCCATTATGATCACCATGGCTGCCATTTTCAAATAAAATTTTTTAAATCAACTCTATTCTACTGGTGTCATTGAGCTGACATTTTGTAGGATTGTTGAGAAACTGAATTGGATTGTGATTCAATAACTGCTCCTGCTACTACTGCTGCTTCACTTGTATAGTTCTTTATAGTCAGATGGTTGTAGGCCAATTGGGCCTCTTATTATACCTCCCACTAAGGTGAGGTGGGTATATGGTCATTTGACCTTGTGCTTGATGTGTGCATGTATGAGTCAGTGTGTTCGTACCTTGTATACAAGATATCTCATGAATACATGGACAAATGCAGTTCACATTCTTATCATAAAATCACCCATTTAAGGTCTACACCTTATAAGAGATTGGTGGTCATTGGTCAAGGTTAAAGGTCAGCGTTTAACCTTTACCACTTTTTAAATGAAAAGCTTGTGTACAAGATACCTCATGAACCTTAAAATAGATTAACTTCTCAATAGATTTGGATTGGAAGGAAAAGATGTGAAGCCTGTTGGGGGTCTCTGTGATCCCCTGCTCGATTTGTTTTTATTGATGTAATAAAGCAAAGGGTGGATTTATGGTGTTTTTTTTATCAAATACATGTGTAGATGTATGTGGTAACATACCCAATGTGGGATATATAGGGCAACTTTATCAAATATACCTTCTGTCTTGCTGAAATAAAGTGAGATGTTTTCATTCATCATTAACCTGATCAACAGGAAAAGTAGATTTATTGGTTGTTTTGAGAACACACAGCATAGGAGCTGTAACCATAAATTTGAAAATCTTGACAAGATGGACACAATGAGAACCATCACGATGATGAGATCAGACATCCATCTGCCTGTTAACACTACAAGTAAAAAGTACTGATTTAATAGTTATGGGGCACAAAAAACGGAGTTTTATTACAGGATTTAGAATCCTGTGGCGGAGATGTCTTGACTTGGTGGGGAAGGCTATTCCAGACTAGGATGTGTTCACAAATTCCTATTTTGGAGCTGCGTATGCCCCATTTCCTGCTAAAAAGTTCACACATGTTAAATAAGTTAAAAAGTCATGCAAATGCATGTTTCATTCCTAATAGTTTAAATTCTATACATTCTTTATTGCCCTCCATCTTGGATTACAATAATACATATTTTAATGAAGTTTTGATCAGTCACTAGATGTGATATGTAAGGACAGACAGGTGTACAAGCTTTTAAATAACTCACTTGCAGAACTGTGTTGAACGGGTGTAAAAGTCTTAAACACAAGCTTCAGTTACTGTTAATTCTCTGCTTTTATTAAGATTACAATGATTACCAAACAATTTATATTTAACGCTGGTGCTAATTGTTAGAGATAATTATTTCCAACCACTTGTGATTTTTTGTATTGGTTTTACTACACTGACACAAATTGTATATTGAACTCCAATACCCTTGAACACTCCCTGACCAGAAGTCAATGTCTAAAGGTTATTGCTGCAGGTACCAATGCATTATCTACACAATTTGATCCCACAAGAAGTACTAACTCAGGATTTTAGTTTTATGTCAAGGTCAGTACAACGTTTGTATTAAGGTGGAGTATAGGGTTAGGTTTTAGGTAAGGGAAGACTTAAAGTCATGGTGTGATTAGTTTTCCTACATCTTTTGGATGAAGTGTTCATACTATATTCAAACACATGTTAATTATGGCCTTTTTATGTTTTTAAATGTAATAAAATAAGATTTTGTGTGACTAATTAGGTGATATGACCCAGATATATGGATAGATTACAGAGCACAGGACATGTGTTATTGGGATACTCTTGTTGTGTGTTATAGATGACCTGTCGGTGCTGACCATAAAAACTGGGGTTACATTGTACAATAACATATAGTTTACAGTCAAGTTTTATCCAAAGCATTTTTGTAAATACAGGCATATATATATGTACTGTTATAGAGTGGGTCATGACAGAAGTGCACACTACCTGGGACTGACAGACTCTGAGACTACACAGTCTACCAACATTTAGCTACATAAATCAGGGCTAAGATATGGTTGAAAATTATTTTGGCTGTAATTACTTGTCTATTGAGGACATGAGTATTTAAGATATTTTGAAACTTCTTGGTAAAGAAGATCAGTTCACATCTATCTTTTAATTTGAAGATAAATCAAGATGTCTGTGTGTGAAGTTTAACCTCCCAGACAGCAACATTGCACAAAAACTGCTGTGGGATGAAAGCAATATGTGTCAATAGGGAATAACGGGAAACAACAAAGAACGTACTTCCAAAAGGGAGGGGGGGTTGGAGGAAATCACACCTGGTTAACATGTCTAGGTGGAGGAAAACACACCTGGTTCACATGTCAAGGTGGAGGAAAACACACCTGGTTCACATGTCAAGATGGAGGAAAACACACCTGGTTCACATGTCAAGGTGGAGGAAAACACACCTGGTTCACATGTCAAGGTGGAGGAAAACACACCTGGTTCACATGTCAAGATGGAGGAAAACACACCTGGTTCACATGTCAAGGTGGAGGAAAACACACACCTGGTTCACATGTCAAGGTGGAGGAAAACACACACCTGGTTCACATGTCAAGGTGGAGGAAAACACACCTGGTTCACATGTCGAGGTGGAGGAAATCACACCTGGTTCACATGTCGAGGTGGAGGAAAACACACCTGGTTTACATGTCAAGGTGGAGGAAAACACACCTGGTTCACATCACACATCACATATGTCTGATTCACAAAACTATGTAAGAAAACGCATCTTGTTCACATGTACACAAAAAGAGATGAATACAAATCTGGTTCACACACCAAGGTAAAACAAAACATGCCTGATTTACATACAAAGGGGAGAAAACCCATCTGGTTCACGCAACCAGAAGAGAAAGAAAATAAAAATGGTTCACACCCCGAGGGGGGTGAAACCGCCTCTGCTTCACTTACCAAGGGGAGAAACCATATCTGGTTTCCACACCAAGATGGGAGACTACAAACCTGTTTCACACAACCAGAAGAGAAAACACATGTGGTTCACACATCCATTGGAGAAAGAAGATGTATCTCTTTCCCTCGCCAAGGTGGAAATACACACCTGGCCGATCTCACCCATAGGAGTAAACTATTTCTCCTTTGATTTTATGACAGCTAGGAAAGAGCTGCTGAACTTTGACCTGAGTTCTTTACATTTTCAATGGTTATTAGGAAACAGGGAAATAAGATTGAAAGTGCTTGGAATTATGATCACAGGTCCTTAGAAATCACATTAATTCTGAGAGGATGGAACGAAATTCTTTAAAACTGAAGTATTAAGTCATCAAACCACATTTTACAGGTTGTAGTTAACATTATCCTCTTACTATGACACCCTACCAGCATCATCTCTTGGTTGGACCCTCCATTTGACTTCAGTACCTACCCCGCCCTGGTAAGTTATGGTGCTGTAGTAGAGACCACAAGGTTGCTTAATGTGGCTTCTGTATCCTGTACCACCTGTGAATACAGGCTAGGAAGAGTACAGGATATTACTCATACTATTATCACTGCTATCTGTAGAAAACTTAAATTACTACTCATATGTTAGCTAAGACACTGGTGTTACACACGCTTTATATTGGTGGACCGGATAACAAAACTAGAAAAAGTGACATGTCCGCAGATTCCATTACATTCCACCAAAAATGTTGGCATTGTGATATTGTTTTAGACATTATCTGCACTTTATTCTGCCAGACGGTGAATCTAACCCACCTAGGTGTCATTTATAATTTGAACACAATTCCCAGACTTCATCTGGTCCGACCAGCTGCCCACTATCTGTTGCAGAGGTCTTGAACCATGCAAAATTGGTTTTCTTTTGTTCCTACATCTGCAAATTCGGTCTAGGATTGTGGGAGAAATGAATCCAAGTTAGAATGTCATTTAATTTTTTATTTCCATGCCAAAGTCAGATTTCACATGAGTCTTGTAACCAAATCAAAATAGAATTTTGATAAATATAATTTTTCCTCTACCTAGTTATTCAAGGCTATGGGATACTTCATCTGTTGCAGGTTGTATAATGATTGTAAAATGGTCATCCCTTGTGGCCAGTCTTCAATTGTTTCCATCCAGGCTGCACCATGCTAGCCCTCTTTTCTAATAAGTCACTATACTGGCCCTCCCTCAACTAGAAACAGTGTCAACCTCTCTATACAGTCCCTTTTGTATTCAGGATCTGTTTCACTGGTTATATTCTTATATTTATTTGTGTGGTATCTGTCCTGATGATACTACAACTGACCACCTACAATTATGTATGTGCTGTCTGACTGACCACCTATAATGAGTGTGTGGTATCTGTCATGACGGTCCTACTAACTGACCACCTATAATAGTGTGTGTGTTGTACCTGTCCTGATTGTCCTACTAACTGACCACCTTTAATTGTGTGTTGTACCTGTCCTGATTGTCCTGCTGACTCCCCATATAACTGTATATAATGTGTTGTGTGTGTATCTGTTCTGATAGTTTCTCTCATCAATCAGCTAGTGTTTGCAGAGCACTTTTACCAGGTAAACAGCCAACAGCCTAGGTGTGGATGGATCTTAGTCTGACAGGTGATGAGTTTGACAATGCACCTGTTCTGTCTACTTGAAACTCTGGCAGATAAAACATCAGAGAAACAATTGTGATGTCACTGATTTTTTCTAAACCTTTTCCATGGGTATTGTTAATTGTTTTATGTAGAAGTTAGAAGAAAGAGCAAGTAGAGAACAAACACACCTGGCTAAGTTTGTTTACACCTGTGTTGGCGAGGTGTTCGTATTGAGAGTTTGGCATCTCATTGATACACGATTTACAGACCACTGATCAAACATTGTTATTGGTAATACAGCCAGTTATAGAGATAATGGGTACATCATCCCTGATAAAATTCCATATATAATCCACTGGGTTATGTAACACATTGCTCAGGAATACTAGGCAAAGCTTTCCTGGGTATGGAATGATGATAGAAAGCATCCAACAGTATTAATCTACTTTTGTTCAGTAGTTCTTGATTTGCTTTTAAATGGCTACATTCACAATGAAAAGGCATGGTCTTTTACAAGTTAAACCTCAAATGACTTAATGGTTGGTCAGGTAGCTAAGTAGAAAATGCACATGCTTTTCACCTATATGTCTGTCTATTTCCAGAATGGACATGAAAAGGGTGGGGTCACCTGCCAATTAAAGTCCTGGGGGTTTTCATCTCTCTCAGTAGGAACCCTCATACTCTTTGATCTGCACCAAAAAAAAAAAAATGATAGGTTGTTTAGTGATTGTTGAAATAAATAAAGTTTATTATTATCATTACCTATTATCTGTATAACAGATTAAGAGAATATACCATACTCTTAGTTGCTTTGTGTTATTTTTAAAACATCAATTAAAGTCTTCCATCATGATTATTTACCATCTTACAGAGATACAGTTGTTGATGAAGCTGAAGTTTCATCCTGCTTTTAGGTAACGTGAAGAGAGTACTATCTTTGCTCTGGTGTGATGTAACATGATTTAAAATGGCAGGTTGTAAGTTGAAGGTTAGATGTGGGATGTAAGATATCTTCCCTATCTCTATAACATAGGTGTGCTGGAGTTTTGGTGATCTGCTCTCTGTTTATTAATATTTCTAGAGGGGATAGTTTACAGATGCATACTGTAAGGATTACACCTGTACTGACAGTGAGGGTCTGTAGGGGAGCATGTACCATAATTATATGTAAATTTACACCTGTACTGACCATGAGGGTCTGAAGAGTGTCCTAAAACAAAAACAAAAAAAAAGTGTAAATATCACACCTCTACTGACAGTGAGGGTCAGTTGCGTGGTTGTACCTTGTAAGATGTAAATATCACACCTGTACTGACAGTGAGGGTCAGTAGGGGTGGTTGTACCTTGTAAGATGTAAATATCACACCTGTACTGACAGTGAGGGTCAGTAGGGGTGGTTGTACCTTGTTAGATGTAAATAACACTCCTGTACTGACAGTGAGGGTCAGTAGGGGTGGTTGTACCTTGTAAGATGTAAATATCACACCTGTTCTGACAGTGAGGGTCAGTAGGAGTGGTTGTACCTTGTAAGATGTAAATATCACACCTGACTGACAGTGAGGGTCAGTAGGGGTGGTTGTACCTTGTAAGATGTAAATATCACACCTGACTGACAGTGAGGGTCAGTAGGGGTGGTTGTACCTTGTTAGATGTAAATAACACTCCTGTACTGACAGTGAGGGTCAGTAGGGGTGGTTGTACCTTGTAAGATGTAAATATCACACCTGTTCTGACAGTGAGGGTCAGAAGGGGTGGTTGTACCTTGTTATATGCAAAAATCACTCCTGTACTGACAGTGAGGGTCTGAAGGGTGGTTGAACTATGTTGGATGTAAATATCACACCTGTACTGACAGTGAGGGTCTGAAGGGTGGTTGAACTATGTTGGATGTAAATATCACACCTGTACTGACAGTGAGGGTCTGAAGGGTGGTTGAACTATGTTGGATGTAAATATCACACCTGTACATGTACTGAGAGTGAAAGACATTAGGGTGTGAATGCCATGGTAGATGTGAATATCACACTTGTACTATCAGTGGTGGTCAGTAGGGGGTTTTGTACTGTAATTTGTAAATCTGTGGCATTATACAAAAGTGGTGTAGTGAGTGGCTACCCATGAGGTATGATAGACATCTGTAGTCACCTGAAGTAGTTCTTATTCTAACAGAGGCCACACTCTCAGGGACTAGATGGATGTTATACATCATTATTTTCTGTCCCTTCACATGTTTAATCTGTGTTTTTTACTGGTAAAGTGCACTCCAGCTCACAGTAACCTTTCCTATCATTGATCAGTCTATACCCGAGTACCTTGTGAACATCTCTGAGTGGTGCCACACCAGGAGTGAACTATATATGAAACATTCACAACTCTTTAACCTTGTATCAGACCATCCTCTTGATTTATCAAGGATGGCTACATTAAACCTAAATTATACTGTGGTAGTTTCTTCTAGGAAACACTTTATAATGGTAATTATAAATTACAGAAGTTTTATGCTTTAGCTCTCATACAGATGAAGCAAATTCCCCTCCCATCCAAAGCATAAATGGTACAAATCTCCACTCACTAGAATTAATAGTGATCTGTGAAGTAACCTGTAAAATAGTGTTAACTACCAGTACAAGACATTTACACAAAAATTACACAAAACATGTACTCTTTTATAATGAATTTTTTTTACTTTCAGAAATGGATTTTATTCGTTTAGTGAGGAAGTCTAAAGGCAGTCCAGGAGTGGAAAAACTAACTCCTAAAGGATTTAAACTTACAAACAAGTGGGATCCAAAAATCCTTAATAGTAAACACCAACGAAAAGTTTGGCGGAAATACAGAGGAGAATTAAGTTATTATATATCGGGCCAGAGTGCTGAAGGGCTGAAGTCAGTGCCGATTTTGTCTATATATCACCATAAAAAGTTATTACCGATCCTGGATATATCTATAAATATGAAAAGTCGCAAGTTAATTGTGAGATATCAGGGTAAAATATCATTCCAGAGGAAGGATGTAGATTTATCTGCCCCTTTGATGAAATTTTTTAGTGTTTTACTACATATCAATCGGACTTCAGTTGTTGTGCGACATGGTTGTGAGGCTGAACATGTAATACAGCTCTCGCAACCTCTGATGAAAATCCCTTCAACTGCAAAAGTCTCGCTTAGTGATCCAAGAAAATCACAAAAATTCACAGTAAGTATGTTTTAGCTTCATATGCTTAATCAAAACCACTGAAAATAAACAAAAAATGTGGAATTTAGTGTCCTATTTCAATAAAAAAGAAACATCATTTATTTCTGGAAATTAACATACATGTTTAGTTTATCACTGATAGTTAATGCTCCATGTTTGGTTTATCACTGATAGTTAATATTCCATGTTTGGTTTATCTCTGATAGTTAATGGTCCATGTTTGGTTTATCTCTGATAGTTAATGGTCCATGTTTGGTTTATCTCTGATAGTTAATGCTCCATGTTTGGTTTATCACTGATAGTTAATGGTACATGTTTGGTTTATCTCTGATAGTTAATGGTCCATGTTTGGTTTATCTCTGATAGTTAATGCTCCATGTTTGGTTTATCACTGATAGTTAATGGTACATGTTTGGTTTATCTCTGATAGTTAATGGTCCATGTTTGGTTTATCACTGATAGTTAATGCTCCATGTTTGGTTTATCTCTGATAGTTAATGTTCCATGTTTGGTTTATCTCTGATAGTTAATGGTCCATGTTTGGTTTATCACTGATAGTTAATGGTGGATGTTTGGTTTATCACTGATAGTTAATATTCCATGTTTGGTTTATCTCTGATAGTTAATGGTCCATGTTTGGTTTATCACTGATAGTTAATGGTGGATGTTTGGTTTATCACTGATAGTTAATATTCCATGTTTGGTTTATCTCTGATAGTTAATGGTCCATGTTTGGTTTATCTCTGATAGTTAATGGTCCATGTTTGGTTTATCTCTGATAGTTAATGCTCCATGTTTGGTTTATCTGATAGTTAATGGTCCATGTTTGGTTTATCTCTGATAGTTAATGCTCCATGTTTGGTTTATCACTGATAGTTAATGGTACATGTTTGGTTTATCTCTGATAGTTAATGGTCCATGTTTGGTTTATCACTGATAGTTAATGCTCCATGTTTGGTTTATCTCTGATAGTTAATGTTCCATGTTTGGTTTATCTCTGATAGTTAATGGTCCATGTTTGGTTTATCACTGATAGTTAATGGTGGATGTTTGGTTTATCACTGATAGTTAATGCTCCATGTTTGGTTTATCTCTGATAGTTAATGTTCCATGTTTGGTTTATCACTGATAGTTAATGGTACATGTTTAGTTTATCACTGATAGTTAATGCTCCATGTTTGGTTTATCTCTGATAGTTAATGGTCCATGTTTGGTTTATCTCTAATGGTTAATGGTAAATGTTTAGTTTATCACTGATAGTTAATGCTCCATGTTTGGTTTATCTCTGATAGTTAATGTCCATGTTTGGTTTATCACTGATAGTTAATGGTCCATGTTTGGTTTATCACTGATAGTTAATGGTCCATGTTTGGTTTATCTCTGATAGTTAATGGTACATGTTTGGTTTATCACTGATAGTTAATGCTCCATGTTTGGTTTATCACTGATAGTTAATGGTACATGTTTAGTTTATCACTGATAGTTAATGGTCCATGTTTGGTTTATCACTGATAGTTAATGGTCCATGTTTGGTTTATCACTGATAGTTAATGGTAGATGTTTGGTTTATCACTGATAGTTAATGGTAGATGTTTGGTTTATCACTGATAGTTAATGGTGGATGTTTGGTTTATCTCTGATAGTTAATGCTCCATGTTTGGTTTATCTCTGATAGTTAATGTTCCATGTTTGGTTTATCTCTGATAGTTAATGTTCCATGTTTGGTTTACCACTGATAGTTAATGGTAAATGTGTAGTTTATCACTGACAGTTAATGGTCCATGTTTGGTTTATCACTGATAGTTAATGGTAGATGTTTGCTCCATGTTTGGTTTATCTCTGATAGTTTATATTCCATGTTTGGTTTATCACTGATAGTTAATGGTACATGTTTAGTTTATCACTGATAGTTAATGGTCCATGTTTGGTTTATCTCTGATAGTTAATGGTCCATGTTTGGTTTATCTCTGATGGTTAATGGTAAATGTTTAGTTTATCACTGATAGTTAAATGTTTGGCTCTGATAGTTAATGTGCATGTTTGGTTTATCACTGATAGTTAATGGTCCATGTTTGGTTTATCACTGATAGTTAATGTTCCATGTTTGGTTTATCTCTGATAGTTAATGGTACATGTTTGGTTTATCACTGATAGTTAATGCTCCATGTTTGGTTTATCACTGATAGTTAATGGTACATGTTTAGTTTATCACTGATAGTTAATGGTCCATGTTTGGTTTATCACTGATAGTTAATGGTCCATGTTTGGTTTATCACTGATAGTTAATGGTCCATGTTTGGTTTATCACTGATAGTTAATGGTCCATGTTTGGTTTATCACTGATAGTTAATGGTACATGTTTGGTTTATCTTTGATAGTTAATGGTCCATGTTTGGTTTATCTCTGATGGTTAATGGTAAATGTTTAGTTTATCACTGATAGTTAATGGTAGATGTTTGGTTTATCACTGATAGTTAATGGTAGATGTTTGGTTTATCACTGATAGTTAATGGTGGATGTTTGGTTTATCTCTGATAGTTAATGGTCCATGTTTGGTTTATCACTGATAGTTAATGCTCCATGTTTGGTTTATCTCTGATAGTTAATGTTCCATGTTTGGTTTATCTCTGATAGTTAATGTTCCATGTTTGGTTTATCTCTGATAGTTAATGGTCCATGTTTGGTTTATCACTGATAGTTAATGGTGGATGTTTGGTTTATCACTGATAGTTAATGCTCCATGTTTGGTTTATCTCTGATAGTTTATATTCCATGTTTGGTTTATCACTGATAGTTAATGGTACATGTTTAGTTTATCACTGATAGTTAATGGTCCATGTTTGGTTTATCTCTGATAGTTAATGGTCCATGTTTGGTTTATCTCTGATGGTTAATGGTAAATGTTTAGTTTATCACTGATAGTTAATGCTCCATGTTTGGTTTATCTCTGATAGTTAATGTGCATGTTTGGTTTATCACTGATAGTTAATGGTCCATGTTTGGTTTATCACTGATAGTTAATGTTCCATGTTTGGTTTATCTCTGATAGTTAATGGTACATGTTTGGTTTATCACTGATAGTTAATGCTCCATGTTTGGTTTATCACTGATAGTTAATGGTACATGTTTAGTTTATCACTGATAGTTAATGGTCCATGTTTGGTTTATCACTGATAGTTAATGGTCCATGTTTGGTTTATCACTGATAGTTAATGGTACATGTTTGGTTTATCTCTGATAGTTAATGTTCCATGTTTGGTTTATCTCTGATAGTTAATGCTCCATGTTTGGTTTATCACTGATAGTTAATGGTACATGTTTGGTTTATCTCTGATAGTTAATGGTCCATGTTTGGTTTATCACTGATAGTTAATGCTCCATGTTTGGTTTATCTCTGATAGTTAATGTTCCATGTTTGGTTTATCTCTGATAGTTAATGGTCCATGTTTGGTTTATCACTGATAGTTAATGGTGGATGTTTGGTGTATCACTGATAGTTAATGCTCCATGTTTGGTTTATCTCTGATAGTTAATGTTCCATGTTTGGTTTATCACTGATAGTTAATGGTACATGTTTAGTTTATCACTGATAGTTAATGCTCCATGTTTGGTTTATCTCTGATAGTTAATGGTCCATGTTTGGTTTATCTCTAATGGTTAATGGTAAATGTTTAGTTTATCACTGATAGTTAATGCTCCATGTTTGGTTTATCTCTGATAGTTAATGTCCATGTTTGGTTTATCACTGATAGTTAATGGTCCATGTTTGGTTTATCACTGATAGTTAATGGTCCATGTTTGGTTTATCACTGATAGTTAATGGTACATGTTTGGTTTATCTCTGATAGTTAATGGTCCATGTTTGGTTTATCTCTGATAGTTAATGCTCCATGTTTGGTTTATCACTGATAGTTAATGGTACATGTTTGGTTTATCTCTGATAGTTAATGGTCCATGTTTGGTTTATCACTGATAGTTAATGCTCCATGTTTGGTTTATCTCTGATAGTTAATGTTCCATGTTTGGTTTATCTCTGATAGTTAATGGTCCATGTTTGGTTTATCACTGATAGTTAATGGTGGATGTTTGGTGTATCACTGATAGTTAATGCTCCATGTTTGGTTTATCTCTGATAGTTAATGTTCCATGTTTGGTTTATCACTGATAGTTAATGGTACATGTTTAGTTTATCACTGATAGTTAATGCTCCATGTTTGGTTTATCTCTGATAGTTAATGGTCCATGTTTGGTTTATCTCTAATGGTTAATGGTAAATGTTTAGTTTATCACTGATAGTTAATGCTCCATGTTTGGTTTATCTCTGATAGTTAATGTCCATGTTTGGTTTATCACTGATAGTTAATGGTCCATGTTTGGTTTATCACTGATAGTTAATGGTCCATGTTTGGTTTATCTCTGATAGTTAATGGTACATGTTTGGTTTATCACTGATAGTTAATGCTCCATGTTTGGTTTATCACTGATAGTTAATGGTACATGTTTGGTTTATCACTGATAGTTAATGGTCCATGTTTGGTTTATCACTGATAGTTAATGGTAGATGTTTGGTTTATCTCTGATAGTTAATGGTGGATGTTTGGTTTAGCACTGATAGTTAATGGTAG